ATTTTTTTATATTTTACCAGAAAGGAGTGATAATCTTTTAGAAAAAACTTTTAAACAACCAGAGTAAGTTATTAACGTATTGATGAAAAACAAGACTATACACATTTATGAAAACTAGAGATTTGTGGAGCTTCTGTCTGCAAAAGAAGAATATTATAATAAAATGTGGTAAAAGAAATTGCCTAATTTTATACTCAAAGATCCTTTCAATCAGCACTTTCTGTTATGATAATGTGTTTTGTCTAGATTGGACAGGCACATCCTATAGAAGGTAATAGGATATGCAAAAACCCTGCTTTCTTTGCACATGCAGACTATGACCACATGCATCTCTTCGGTTCCTTCAACAAATATAAAATTTGTTCAAAAAATGTATTAACCAAAGCATCTAAAGCTTATCCTTCTTATTATTATCTTCAAAACTAATCCCTCACAAAAGCCATCTAATTTAGCTAATTCACTTCTTGACCAGTTTAGATTGCCAATGAACTAACCTGGTTCTATTCAGATAAAACATTTTACAACTTTTTATGCATGTATAAAATTAAGTGCTATAATGTAAACTTTATCAAAGAATAAAGAATCCTGCATTTTAAGAAACTTAAAATCCGCACTTTCTGTTTTGAATGTGTTTTGTCTAGATTGGATAGAAATGAACATTGCTGGGACACATCCTGTAGAAGGTAATAAGAGATGCAAAAAAAACTGCTTTCTTTGCATATATAGACTATGACCACATGCATCTCTTCGGTTCCTTCAGCAAATACAAAATTTGTCTAAAAAACCTATTAACGTATCTAAAGCTCATCCTTCTTATTATTATGTTTAAAGCTAATCCCTCACAAAAGCCATCTAATTTTGCTAAATCTCTTCTTGACCAATTTAGATAGCCAATGAACTAACCTGGTTAAATTCAGATAAAACATTTTACAACTTTCTATACATGTATAAAATTGAGTGCTATAATATAAACTTTATAAAAGAATAAAGACTCATGCATTTTAAGAAACTTTAAATCTGCACTTTCTGTTTTGAATGTGTTTTGTCTAAATTGGACAGAAATGAACATCCTGGAACACATCCTGTAGAAGGTAATAAGAGATGCAAAAAAACTGCTTTCTTTGCATATACAAACTATGACCACATGCAAATCTTCGGTTCCTTCAGGAAATACAAAATTTGTTTAAAAAAGCTATCAAAGAGACACAAGATCTCGTTTTTATTCATTCCACTGGTAGTCTGTTTTAAACAGAACAGGGATAACCAATTAAAAATCAGCGGGGTCCGAATAAAGAAAATCATCAACCAGTAAAGGTCAGGAGACATTTTTAATTATAATCTGTTACTTTAAACAGAATTTAACACTGAAATAGAATAAAGTTTTTATGCATCCATATTATACATTGAATTTTTAAATTAAAAAAAAAGAATTTTTTTTTTTTTTTAATTTATTATGGATATTTATTAACTGTACAAACAAGCTTTTGGTTATATGAAAGTAAAATAAAGTGACCCAAAGTACGCACATGTAGTCTTTTTACTTGTAAACCCAACCGGATCCCCTTTGATTTTCATCAGCTGACTTCCTGCCTGAACAACTTACCTGTTGGGTAATAATAAAGGAGTCTGTTTTTATTATGCCTATTGTTATTGAATATATTACACTGTTGTAGGAATACCAACTGATCAAACACATCTAACATTCCACAGAATGAAATAAGTATAAACAGTATAGATGATATCATATCGGGTCAATGTCAGTAGCAGTGAGTTCTCGAAGGTTCAATATCGGTATCATTCGGGGGAAAAAAACGTTTCATTGGGACATTCCTTGTTTGAACTCATAAGATGCATAATACATTTATTATTGAATCCGAACACTTGTCAAAAGTGAGACGACAGAATTGATTCCTGCATATGTGTTGAAACAAACCCAGAGAAAAAAATACCGGATGACAAAGTATTTTCTAAAAGTTAATTATAAAAGTAATAAGCATTTTGCTCTTAAAGACTAAGACAAAAAAAAAAAAAAAAACCACAACAATACTTTCAAGTTAACCTAAAGTCCACTTCAGCTGCATCATCAAGCCATCAGCTGACTCGTGAATGCTTCAGTGAATAGAATGACTCAATGCAAATAGCTATTTAAAACCACACAGCAGCAGTAGGTACATTTTAAATCTCTCATTGGAGCCGCACTGCACCAAAGTGCTCTCGTGTTTATTTTCATAACAATGCATTGGATCTTCACCTGCACCCTGCTTCTTCTTTTAAATCTATTTGAAGCTTCTGGCAAGTATGTCTATATTAAAGAACCAAAGACTTGGTCTGCAGCTCAGCAGTACTGTCAACAGGAATACGCTGGCCTGGCTCCTGTCAGCAACCAACAGGACATTGTCAAAATGATGGAGCTTGTCAACGGAAACTTTACCCCATCTTGGATCGGAATGGAGGACAATGATATAGAAGTAGAGCAATTGAAGATTTGGGGGGGTGGAAAGATGCTTTTTCCAACTCCAGGTGAATCCACAAGCCTTCAAGGGGCAAACAGCAGCCCCACTACTGACTACTATGTGGGTCTACAAACAACAGCCCCTTTTTTTTGCTACAAACCAGTCGTGGTGAGGAAGAAAAAGAGCTGGGAGGATTCTTGGAGCTACTGCAAAGAACACCATAACATGCTGGCCAGTGTGACATCGGTAGCAGAGATGCAACTTATCCAGAAGGAATTGAGCAAAGTTCCCACCACTGAACGTGTCTGGATAGGTTTGCATTTTTTTCCTGGGGACGGATGGCTGTGGGTGGACAGCCAGCCTCTGGATTATGAGGTGTGGGGTTCAGGAAAAAAGCCACAGTGTCCAAAGGTAAACACAGAGTGTGCAGCCTTACAGGTGACCAAGCAGAATATCAGCAGCTTTATAGGCAATTTAGTTGGCTCTGGAGATACTTCAGGTAACTCTGGAAGTAATCCTGGTAACCCTGGAAATACTCCTGGTAACACTGGGGGTAACCCAGGTAACTCTGGAGGGAATCCTGGTAACTCTGGAAGTAGCCCAGGTAACTCTGGAGGGAATCCTGGTAACTCTGGAAGTAACCCAGGTAACTCTG